ACCCCACTTACCTGCCCAGGTGTTGGGGTCTCCGTGGCTCGTCCCGCCCCTCCCAGCACCCACGGGACCCTGCGGTGCGCGGTGCCCCCGGCCCCAGCCCGGGCTGGGTGCTCGCCCGGGGTGACTCAACCGCAGCCCTGCGAGCGCCTCCGCGCCCGGCGGCACGAAAGCAGGGACTGGAGCCAGCAGCACCCGCCGGACGGGACTGAACTGGGCTGAACTGGGCTGAACTGGGAGGCGTCAGGCGCCTGGGAAGGGGTGGCGCAGTGGGGATGGGACAGGGGGACCCCAAAACTGGTGAAGCCGAGGGGGTGGAAAAGGGGATGGGGGAGATGTCCCAGCCTGGTGTCACACGGGGGGCTGGGGGCAGGATGTGCCGCCGGGGTTCCTGAGAGAGCGCTGGGCTGCACTGGGGGAACTGGGGGGACTGGTGTGTGCTGGGCACGGGGGAGCAGTCCGTCTGCCCCCTGCAGCCCCCCACCCCAAAAACCCAGCTTGGAGCAACACCAGGTCCCTGGGGCTGTGCAGGACCCCCATCCCCAGGGTGCCCTCGGCTCCATGGCCCCCATCCCATAACGCATTCCCAGCCCACGGGACGGCCCCAGCCCCTCCTCAAACCATGGCTCCCCTCAACCCACATTCCCAACCCCACGGATATTTCCAGCCCCACAGCCCCCATCCTGCTCGGGGGTCCTGGGCACCCAGCAGGGCCAGGCACGATAAACCCCGGGCAGGAGCATCACAGTGAGAGCTGTGCCTCAGTTTCCCTCGATGCCAGGGGGAGAGCAGCTGGCTGGGGCTGGGGGCCAGGCTCCCCCCGGCTTTAGTGCGAGATGGCAGCACCTGCCGAGCACAGGACGGCAAGAAAAGGGGATTATTTTTAGCCTGGTTTCTCAGGAAATGAGGCTTCATCAGCGGCTTCGTGTGTCTGTCCGTGGGCCACTCTCCCCTTTCTCCCCTTGCAGGGTGCTCAGGGCTCAGCTCTGGGGGGGTTCCAGAGGAATGGGATCCCTGCTCTGGGTGTGCTGGGAATGCAGCCTGGAATTGCAGGGAAACAATGACGTGAGGACATTGAGTCCCCCCAGAGCTCCTCCTGGGCTGGGGGCTCAGCTCTGGCTCACCCCGGGGGCACCAAGCCCTTTCTGGGCATCCTGGACCCTTTGTTCCTGCCACACCCAGAGTGAGGAATATTTATGGGATGGGAAAAGGCGTGAGGAGAAGGGGGACCCACCCTGCAGGGTGTCCCCCCATCCCCAGGGGTGCAGAGGTTTGCTGGGTCTCAGGCACAGCCGGGGGCTGGGGACAGAGGCTGCACAGCCCAGCGGCAGCCGGTGACACCCAGGAGCACCCTGGCCACCAGCACACCTGAGCCAGGTGCCGGGCCAGCCCTCGGGGATGGTTTTCCTTGCAGGCAGCTCCTGGAGCAGCTCGGAGGAGCAGCCCCCGGTGGGGCAGGCACGGAGCAGGTCCTGTCTCACTTCGGTGCCGCGTGGGCAGCCCCGGGCCAGCGGTGGCCAGCGAGGAGCGAGTCCCGGCCTGCTCCAGCCCTCCTCCCCTCCGGGACTCGCTCCTCGGGTCCGGGAGGTGCCGGCACGTCTGGTTCTACTGGGGGGAAACTGAGGCAGGAGCACGGGCGGAGACCCAGCGGTGGATTTTTGGGAGGTGGGGAAGCCTTTGTAGCACAGCGCCCCGGCTCTGACACTGCCACGTGTCCCCCAAAGGCTCGGGGCCACCTGGGCCCATTCCTGTCCTGGGATCTCGGCTCCCCGTGCCCTCTGCCCTCCCAGAGCCTTTGATGTGGCACTCAAGTGCTCCCTGGACACCCGGGAATATCCATCAGCCGTGCCACATCCCACAGGGACAGAGCCTGGACACCCAGGGATGGACCCCAACTCCCTCGGGCTGGGGGCCTTTACTTGCACCCACTTTTGTTTATTTCAAATCCCCACAGCAGAGCAGGGACCTCGAGGCATTTCCAGATGTGGCTCTGGCTGGGAATGACATCCAGGGGCTGGCTGGGAGGCCCTCCCCTCCTCCCCTGCTTGGGAAACAACGGTGTGAGGATGAGGAGGGAGCCAAAGCCTGGGAGGCACCAGAGCCCCCGGCAGCTTCCAGAGCTCCCAAAGCGCCCCAGTGAGCCCTGGGACCCCTCCCCTCCGGCCAGCTGCAGAAAAGTGACCCCATTTCAAAGGCGGCTCCAGGGCGGGGACATCCTCGGCTCCACAGGAGAGGGAGCTCGGGAACCCCTAACCTTGATCCCAGCCCTGATCCCAGCTTTGTCCCCAGCCCTGCTCCCAGCTCTGTCCCAGCCCTGATCTCAGCTTTGTCCCCAGCCCTGATCCCAGCCCTGATCTCAGCTTTGTCCCCAGCCCTGTCCCCAGCTCTGTCCCAGCTCTGCTCCCTGGCGGGTCTCGGTCACCCTCGGAGCCGTGGGGGAAGCAGGGGGGACACTCCGGGATGAGCGTTCAGGCCATGTGGCAGCTGGGATGGATCCTGACATTCCATTCTGCAGCATTCCTGGCTCCCGGGGCTGGGCTGAGAGCCTGGAGAGGAAAACGAGGGGAGGAGGGGATCGCACATGCCCTGGGCACCCTCGGACCGGCTGCTCCCCTCTGACCCCAAATTCCCGGACCTGAACCGCGGGGCTCACACAGCCCCCACACGTCCCACCCCATCCCCTGCAGCCCCCGGCAGCAGGAGAGGGTTTGGGAAATCGTGCCAGGCTCGGGAGGCGGCCCCGAGGGCTTTGGCATCCTCACCTCAGCTTCCAGCACAGATGTGTGCGGGATAAAGCCCCGGGAGCCGCTCCCCGCCCCGCAGGAGCTGAGGCTGCTTGCCTGGAGGGCCGAGCAGGAGGGTCCAGGTGGTTTTCCATAAAATGGCTGCACCATGAAATCCCCTGGCCTCGGACACAACCTAATTTTAAGGCTGATGCGCTCCCCCCCACAGCTCAGCCTCTGGATATCAGATGGAACAGAAAATCAGCGGCTGCATCTGCAGTCAGCAGGCACAGCTTTCCCTGCTCCCAGCTCAGGCAGCAGATCCTGCTGGGAGAGGCAAAAATGAGTCTGGCTCTTTGCTTCGGGCAGCCCCAGGGCCAGGACAGGCGTCCCCTCCCCTGGGAAAGGGGGGACTGGGCTGGGCAGGGAAAGGAAAGGAGCTGGGAAAGCAATGCCTCCCGGAAAAAAGGACACGGCAGAGACAAAAGGGAAGCTGCTCACAGCTGAAGGGAATCAACCCTGGAAAAAAGCATCTCCCGCCCCACAGCACTTGGCTGCCCCTGCCCAGGTATGGAGATCCCACATTAAATCCCACAAGCTCTTCCTGCACTGCAGGGATGGGGGATTCTCCTGCCCCCTAAACCTCCTTCCCAGCAGCAGGGTTGTGAGTTTTCCCTGGAGTGAAAAAAGGGCGAGTTCATAAAGCCAAAGGGGTGGGAGCTCCAGGATCCTTTGGGCAGGAGAGGGGCCAGGGCAGATCCTGATCCCAACCCCGCTCTTGGCTGAGGGCTGAGAGGAGGGAAGAGATGCAGCACTTGGAGATATCCACAGAAATCAGTTTATTTCCCTGCCGTCGGGATTATGAAACCACAGAAGCAGAGTTTAAATATTTACAAAGAAATCCAGCGCCCCGCAGAGATGAAGGGAACAAAGGATGAGGGATGGGGGCTCGCCCTCGCCATTCCAAACTCTGCTCTGGTAAAAAGCATCAGGAGCAAACGAGAGGGAATTTTACAGTGGGGATTTGGAAGTCCGGGGGCCCCCGACACCCCCAAGTCTCAGCTTTGGCAATTCTTGCAGAGCTCATGGATGAAACACGGACGGGACGGGCCCAGGGGCTCGAGGTTATTGCTGAGGGTGGAGCCAGCCCCGGGGCCGGGCACTCCAAGGAATCACAGGAAAGCCACACGCAGGGAAAGCGCTCAGTCCCCTCTGGCTGGCTGAGAACAGAGCTCACACACTCCATCCTCTCACCCAGGCTCGCTCCGGTCGGGATTTCGGCGCTCAGCAGCCCCAGGCCCAGCACCCTCCATCCCACTCTCCACACAGGCAGGGAAGGGCTGCACAGAGCAGGGGTGGGACAGGGACAACAAGGAGCAGCAGGAGTAAGGGGTGATTTAAAAGTGACTGAGGAAGAGGAGAAAACACAGAAAAGAGCTCGGGAGGAGGGTCCAACCCTCCCACAGGGCTGGGGGGGTCAGGGAGAGGCACACGGGGAGGGGTCTGAAAGCCAGCAGGCTGACAGTGAGTGGGCTCCAGTCAGAGGAAGCTGCAGGCAGGGCTGGGACCCCAGAAAACCTTTCCTGCTGGCCACGAGCACTCCCCGAACTGGATTCCTTGGATTCCACCAGGTTCTGGAGTAATGAGCTGGTTTTTCAGGTGTGAATGGAAAAGCTCTGCTCCCACCTCTGCAGTCAGCAGGGACCTGCTCAGCTGCACAAGAACCTTCAGCCCAGGCTTGGCTTTAAAATTCCCCTGGCTCAGAGCCCTCCAAAATCAGCACCTGCAGAGCAGACCCAGCTGTAGATGGGGTTCCAGGTGATATCCAAACTCCTTTCCTGCCTGGCACTCAGGGACAACTCCCATCCCACAGCCCACCCTGCCTGAGCTGTGCTCCTCACACCAATCCCTGCACAGCACCTGTGCCCAGGTGTGCTCTCCAAAGCTCCCTAAGCCATTCCTCAATCACCAGCCACTGCCCCAGTTTGCAAAGCCCAGCCAGACAGGCAACTTCCAGCCCTTCACCTCCTCCTTTCAGCTCTAGGCTCAGGTGCTGCTCCCACTGAGGTTTTGCAGCCCCAGGCTCGGCCTCTCTGCTCCAGCTGCACGGGGATCAAAGGGGAACAAGAGCCTTGTGAGGATTGCAGTGCCAGATTTAGCAACCGAGAGCCCGAGGAGAAGCAGGGGAGTGATATTTTCTCTGGCACAAGCTAAAAGGGACAAAGGGCTGCCTCCCAAAGCTGCAGCAGGCTCCTGGAGGGGGGCACCCTGCCACGAGCCCTTCCCAAGGCAGCCCTTTGGCTTTCCTGCCTTTCCAGGCTCAGCAGCAGGACCAGGGGAGCTGGCCCTGCCACAGAGCGTCCCTCAGGAGTGTCCCACCCCATCATCCTCCTGCCACTGCTGGGGGCCATGGCTGAGTGCTGGGGCAGCCCCTCCTCCCAGGAACAACCCCCCACTTCCCTCTGGAATGTGTGCTACTGGAGAGATGTGCCACAGGGAAAACAGCAACTCCTGACTGGAGACCCAGGGGACTGGAGGAAGCATCTGGTGGAGAGGAGGAGAGCAGGTGATCAGAGAGACCCTCCCAAGGTGCGTCTGCTCGTGCCACTGCAGGAGGCAGAGCCTGCCTTGAGGCTTTTTTTGGCACTGAGAGCAAAGGTGCCCACCCCTGCCGTGCCCTGATCCCACCCCCACCTCCCCAGCTGCAGAAAGGGAGAGAGCAGAAGCTTCCAGACCCCTGACACTGGGAGACACCGTCGACAGAACAGAAACAGGAGGAAAAGAAGCCAACTCCAGGAGACAAAGATGAGCTGGCACGATGCAGTGGGGCTGCCCCTTCCCTGGAAAAGGCTCCCAGAGTCGCAGGCCTCCATCCTGCTGGATCAGTCACAGTTTATCCTTTGTGTGCTCGGGGGGCAGGGCTGCCATCACCGCAGGTGCAGGGTGAGAACCACGGTCACAATCACCCCCAGGAAGAGCAGAAAGGGCAGCCAGGTCTTCACAAACCCCCCTATGCTGCAGGAGGGAAAGAAGGGAAGGTTAAATGTGAGAAATCAGCAGAGGCAAAAGGATGGGAGAATACCTGGAGAAATCAGAGGGAGACAGATACCTGACTGTTACCTGGGGCACTGCCACCCACCCCATCCTGGAAATTCAGTGTTAAAAACTCAGACTCAATCAGGACCACAATAAATATTTCACCAACAAAAGGGCTGGAGTCTCCTTCCAGCTTAAATTAAGTCAAAGACATTTCATACTTGCACAGACAGGAATGGTGACAGGAGGCCACAAAAAATGAAACCCCATTACCACAGGGTTTGTTATTCTGACTGCTGGTGGATTTAACCAAGCCAGCTGGAGCTATCCCAGCCCAAAAGCAGAACAGAGGACACTCCACAGAAGTGGAGCTTCATGAAGGGCAGTGCTCACAGAATCTCCTCTCCAGGCACAAGGAGCTGACATGGAGATTCAAAACCCTTTCCTTAAGGAAAGCTCGGGGTTTCCCTCCCCACTCCAGTTGGAAGCTCCACAGCAGCTGGACATCAGACCAGTTTTTATGTAAACAAGATTCAAGACAAGGGAGGGAAACCAGTAATCCTTGGAGAGAAGCCATCCTGTGACCTTATGTTCCGACCTAACCCAGCCAGAAGACAACACAGAATGAGATTTGCTTTAGCCAGCATTTCCCAAATTCCAGGCACTCCAAATTAGCAGCCAGAAACAGTATTTTGGGAGCAGCATCTAGTGCAACCCAGCAAACACTCCTGCTTCTCCTGCTGAGCACAGGCAGTGACAGCACCAGCCACCCACAGCCTGGGGGGATGTTTGTCCCTTCTGCATGGGCCAGGTGATGCTTCAGGGGGCTCAGGAGAAGGGAAGGGCCCCTTCTGCTGCCGAGTGCAGGCTGTCCCTCAGCTCACCTGACGTATTTCCCATAGAGCAGTGTGAAGAAGCACAGTTTCACCATGTTCCACGAGGTGCTGTTATCGTATCTCATCAAGTTTAAGGCCAGAGCCACGTGGGAATGGCAGTTGTCACAGCAAAGGTTGTGCTGGAAACACAAACAGGGATTAGAAATCCTGTCCCTGAGCTTTCCCAGTCCAGGTGGAGAGCCACAGTCTCACTCCTGTGGCCAGGAGCCAAATCCTGGGGAGGGATCCCCTCAAACCCCGCAGAGATGTGGGATGGTGGAATGGATGGGTTGGATGGACTTCAAAGCTCCTTGCTCCAGCCACGCCTTGAACACTTCCAGCAGGGAGGGGGTACCCAGGATGTCTGTGGGAGCTCCCTGGAGGCTCTGGGGGTCCCTCCCTCCCCCTCCCAGCAGGACAGGGCTGTACCATGCGGTGTTTGTACTCCTCGGACGCGTCGTGCACGGCCGTGTCCCACGCGTTGGCACCGGTGGCAAAGACTTTGCTGGGATCCAGTTTCCAGTACCTGGAAGGGTGAGAGGTTTCCTTTGCACTGTCCTGCTGCTGCACCTCCCCTCTGCTTGCTCCTCCCAGGAAGATCATGGAACCAAAGCCTCCTGAGCTGCAAAGACCCAGAGGATCACTGAGGCCAACTCCTTGCCCTGCTCGTGCTCAAAGGGCCTGGATAAATCCAGTGCCTCTGCAATGCACAGAGCCCGGCTCTCAGGGACAGGCACAGGCAGCAGAAAGGCTGCTCAGCACCCTCAGCACCCCAGAGAGAAATCACAGAGCTCAGGGCACAGCCCTGAACTGCTCCCACATCCCATAGGAACCTCCTGGCCCTTCCAAACACAAACCCGACCTGAGACACAAACCCAGGCCCTTCTGCTCCCCAGAGCCCTGCCAGGACAGGGTGCCACCAGCTCATCAGCACGGCCAGGCAGTGTTTACTCAGAGCACTTCTTAACATCATCCTAGAACAGTTTAGCCTTTGCTCTTCCTTTTTTCTAACAAAGGTTCCACACAGCTCTGGTTATTAACACCACCACGTTGCTGTCATGCTGCTAAAAAGGTTTAATTTAATGTGGCTTCCTGAAAAGCAGAGACACAGCAGCCACCAAGGTGAATGAGGGCAGCTGAGCACCAGGAAAAGCCAAGTCACAGCAGGGCTGTCCCCAGGAACTGCAGGGCAGTTTAATACAAACACGCAGCACTTACTTCACAGGCTTCCCAAACGCCATGTTGTCTTCCTATTAAAAAAAAAAAGGAAAATTGTCTCAGGAGGTGAAGCCAATGCTCAGGGCATGGATGGTGCTGGAGGTGTCCCAGCTGGCTGGCTGAGTGATCCCACTGTCCCAGACACCAATCCTGGTGTGCCTGGTTTGGATTCCCACTGTTTCCACACTCTGCTCTGGCCGTGGGCACATTTACACTCCCCACACAGTGACACCACTTACCTACATGTGCCTAGGCACTTCTGCTACTCAGAATTAAGAGAATTTAAGTACCAAACTCCTAATTTAGAGCCTGGAATACAAGACTTTTTTCCCGTTCTCCTCACCAAACCAGCCATTATACATCACACCCCCAAATGAGCTCCAGTGAGGATCCCAGATCCTCAGAACCAGCTAAAGGTGTTCATGGAGCTGGAGAAGGCAGGGCTGGCTCAGGAGCCCCAGGGGCAGGGGAGCAGCAGGGGAAGCAGGAGCTGTGCTGCTGCCCTGGGTGCTGCAGGGGAAACAGGAGCTGCACCAGCAGGGGTTGCAGCAGGAGGAGCTGCAGCAGGGATTGCAGCAGGAGCTGCTGTAGGAGTTGCAGGAGGAGCTGCAGCAGGGGCTGCAGCAGAAGGAGCTGCAGCAGCAGGGGTTGCAGCAGCAGGGGTTGCAGCAGCAGAAGCTGCAGCAGCAGAAGCTGCAGCAGCAGGAGCTGCAGCAGGGGTTGCAGCAGGAGCTGCAGCAGCAGGGGTTGCAGCAGCAGGGGTTGCAGCAGCAGGAGCTGCAGCAGGGGTTGCAGCAGGAGCTGCAGCAGCAGGGGTTGCAGCAGCAGGGGTTGCAGCAGCAGGGGTGCACAGGTACTCACAGACACGAAGTAGGGCCCCGCGAAGTCGCGGATGACGCCGGCCGAGGTGCAGATGCCCATGTGCCCGATGATGGGGAACAGCCACCTGCAAGGAGCACGGACAGGAGGGGATTGTCCCTGCCACAGCAGCCAGGACACACGGCTGGCAGGGGGCAGAGCAGGAGCCAGAGCCAGGCAAGGGCTGGAGGAGAGCAGCACACTCCAAAGGGCCCTGCACAAAAACCCCTTTGTGCAGCCAAGCACAAAGATCAGATCCTGGAGGAGCTGCCTTGGGATAAAACCGGACTTTCCACTCCAGCGACCAAAAACCAGGTCACCCTGCCCACCTCCCCATCACGCTGCAGCTTGCCACTGCAACCTAGATTTAAGCTCTCCAGACAGAAAACAGAGTTCCTGGCTTTGGGAAGAGCATTCCCTCCCCTAAACGATGCCATTGTTTCACAGTCCTTCTCCCTGATGGATATTTACAGTCCCAGGGAGAAGCAGACCTACATCCCAACCCCCTTCCATCACCTCCTAACCCTTTCCCTGGTCAGACCCATGTGCAGACTCCTTCCATCACTATCACACAGGAGTGAATACTCCAGCTCACATCCCATTCCTCTCTCACATGCTCCAGCACTCTCAGGTTTGCTCATCTCCCTGATTTCTCTCCCCCTGAGGGACTGAGTGGCTCTGGCAGCTCCCTTCAGCACTCCCAGCTGGGATTGGGAATGTTACAAAGCTCTGGAAAATCCTCCCAGAAAAGGCTGAGGTGAAAATTTTAAACGATCAAAAAAAGAAAAGAGTTAAAAGAGGCGGCAAGAGGGGCAGCGCAGCCTCTCCTGGGCTCCCGATCCCGGCACACCCCACACCACATCTTGTACCTGACTGCGAGCTCGGTAAACATCACCTGACGGGAACCCGGGGGGAAGAGGAAGGTGGAAAAACAAGCCTGGCTGTGCCCGGACAACCCCCACAGCCACAGCTTTCCACGTTCCCACGGCCAGAGCACAACTCCCAGGCTCTCCTGGGTCCTGCCCACACTCGGCACGGCAGCTCCAGTCCCGAGCCGTGAAAAGCAGCGCACCGAGACTCCCCCGGGGCACGGGCTGCTCCCACCCCCAGCGGCACAACCTCGGCTCCAAAAAACGCTTCCCACGTTGCCGGGATCCCGCAGGGACCAGCCCGGCCAGCAGAGCCTTCCCCACACTCGCCAAGGCCGCAAGAACGAGGCGCGCCCTGGGCCGGGGTCCCGGGAAGGGCAGGGGGGGCTCGGGGAGAACCGGGAAGGGCAAGGGGGGAAGCCGGGACAAGGTCCCGACAGGGGCGAGGGGGATCCAGAGGAGCGAGGGCGGCCCGAAAGAAGCGAGGGGGGGCCCGGGACAGGGGAGGGGAGGCCCCGGGGGAGCCCCCGGGGGAGGCGAGGGTCCCGTCCCGGGCCCGGCCCCGCCGCTCCGCCCGGCCCCGGTTCGCCCCCGGGCCCTCGCTCACGTCAGGACGGGGATCGGGGTCCACACCACGCAGTGCGGGAAGCGGCCACGCTCCGCGTCCGGCGCGGCGCCACCGCCGCCATTGAACTGCTTCATCCCGGGCTCCGCCGCCGCCATGCCCGGGGCGCGCCCGCAGCGCGTCACTTCCGGCGGACCGAGCGCGCTTCCGGTTACCGGGAACGGAACGGGAACGGGAATGCGACAGGAACGGGGAAACGGGAACGAGATAGGGATAGGGAACGGATCGGGAACGGGATAGGAACGGGAACGGAAATGGGGAAACGGGACCGGGAACGGGGAAACAGGAACGAGATTGGGAACAGGAACGGAAACGGGAACGGGACAGGGAACGGGACAGGGAACGGGACAGGGAACGGGACAGGGTCCCAGCCCCAGGAGCAGACCCCGAGTCGGGGACCCCGGACCCGGCAGCCCAGAGCCCCAAATCCCGGCTGCCAGAGCAGCAACAGCGTTTGCAGAGGGAAAACAGAGGGTTAGAAAAATAACCATCACTTTATTAGGAAGTTAAATTCAAACTGCACGAGGAAGCTGGAGAATTGTGTTTATTCCAGATTTCCAGCCACCACAACACACTGGGAGCACAGAGTGAGAGCCGGGGAATGGAGGGATGGGATAATGGGATGGGATAATGGGATGGGATAATGGGATGGGGTGCGATGTTCTGCCCCAGGGGTGCAGGAGAGCTGCCAGTGACACCTTCCAGCCTCTGCCTCCTTCCAGGTTTTCCTGGAATCTGCTCGTTTCCTCCTCACACAGCCGTGCTTCCCGCCAAGGCTCAGAGCAGCCAGGGCTCTCCAGGAGAGCTGTGCTGTCCCCCTGCTGTGCCAGGGCTTGGGAATCAAAATAAACAACCTTTCCCTTCCTGATCGTGGCACAGAGGTGACACAGAGCCAAGGTGGCCTTGGATTTGGGGATTGACAAACCCTGTTCCCAGCACTCATCACGAGTTTACAGCTCCCACTTTTACCGACATTCCTTCACCAAAGGCCTCTCCCCTGCAAGCCACAGCAGCTCCCCTTGAGCACTCAGCTGTCTGATGGAAAAGGAATCCATTAAATACTCTCCAAAGGAGAAAGCTGGGGAAATGAACACTGGAGAGCAAAGCCATGGTGCTTTGGTTTCTGCTTTCCTCTTTTAGGACAGAGAGCAATGGGTACAAAGTGAAAGAGGGGAGATTAGATTGGATGAGAGGAAGAAATCCTTCCCTGTGAGGGTGGCAGGCCCTGGCACAGGGTGCCCAGAGCAGCTGTGGCCACCTCTGGATCCCTGGAAGTGCCCAAGGCTGAACAGGGCTTGGAGGAACCAAGGGAAGCTGTGCCTGCCCATGGCAGGGGCTGGAATGGGATACTCCTTCCAACCTTTAACAGGCTATGATTCCATTTTGGCACTTGGGATGGAAGATGCACACAAAGGTTGTGTTTCAGTGAACACTTTTTGTTCGACAAAGAAAAAAAAAGCCCTGGCATTGATTTGCTCCAGGCCAACATAAATATCAGAGATTGTGAAAAAGCCACGAATGAGGGCCAATGTTCACATCAGCTAATGTGGTCCTGGCACGTTTGTCGGATTAGGCAATGGATTTGCTCTTCCTGCTCATGGCTGGGAGGCTGCTAAGCAGGATATCACCAGGGACCAGCTCCTTGGCAAAGCCACACAGCAGGGACAGCAGTGACAGCCTCGGCAGGACGTGTCCCCGCAGTGCCACCTCCCGCCTGGCCGAGGGGCAGTTCAGACACTTCCCTCCCTCGTAAACCCAGTGCAGGAAGGCAAACGCAGCTGCTGGAGCTCAGGAAGAACACAGCTTTCCCCAGGCTGCATGAAAAAAAAAATAATTAAAACCAAAATCAATAGAGCACTGGTTTGCTGTGCAGCTCTTTGTGTCTGTCAGGGAAGCACAGGGGCTGAGCTGGAGCTGACAGCAGGGTCTTCCTGGTGACAACTGGAAAGCTGCTGCTGTTGTGCTGCTATTGATCTAAGCAGAATACAAAACACCTGAAGTCAGCAGGGAAAAATAGCTGCAGTTGGAAAAGGAACTGTGGGGGGGAGGACAGGGAGGGGAGAGCAGGTAAGAAGTTCTCCATGCATAAAATTAAAGGCCAGGGTTTTATTGCAGCTCTCTTGCCTGACTACAGCACTGGATCGATGTGCAGAGCAGGAATGGTGCCATCATTGTTTGTGCAAGCTCTCATTTGAGGAAACACAAAAGGGTTTGCCAGGGATTGCCACCGCTGGCTGCTGTGCCTCCCTCAGGAGGGACAAGGGGCCAGGGCCCGGCTCTGGCAGGTGCCAGCGTGGCCCCGGCAGCCCGGTGACCCCGAGCCTTCCCGGGGGGACAGCGAGGGGCACGGGGGGTCGGTCCCAGCCCTCCTGGAGCCCAGCCCGGCCGGCACTGGGGCACCTCCCGTTCCCAGGGCAGAGCTGGAGCTGCAGGCTCCCAGCCAGCTCCTGTTCAGCAGCGCTTCCTTGGGAACCTTCCCTGTTGTGACAGCTCCAGCATTGGAGGGGCTGCCAGAACCGGAGCAGTCCAGGAGGAGATCCCCTCCCCCTCCTGACATTGACAGCCCGGGCAGCAGCGGGAGCTGCCTGGAAATGTCACCGAGGCTGGGGCTGCTGGAGGACACCGGCCCCGTGTCCTTCCCTGGCCCTGCAGGGTTTGTGTTGCTCCCCTGCTCTGGTCTGTGCAGCCTCAGAGGGAGCCAAAATCCCGGCTCAGGGCTCTGCTGGTGCCACTCACGCACTGCCACGGGCACGCCAGGCTCAGCCCCTCCCCAGAAGTGGCCCTGAGCCACCCCAGCCCTCAGCTCCAGCCCTGGGGCTTTTCTCTCTCCCTGTCCCTCTGACACAGCCACAGGGTTTCACTTCCACCTTCAGGGAAAAGCCACCAGGGACGGGGGCACCCCTGGCAGCGCTCCCAGAGCCAAGTGCTGGGTATGGTGATTCCTCAGCCATGAAATCCAGGACAAAACTCAGCTCCTCTCCAGGCCAGCCCTAAAAGGGTCCCCATCAGCCTCCTCTCCTGCAGCAGCAAGGGCTGAGCTCCTCCCAGCACCCAGAGCATTCCCAGCACCCTGCTCCCACTGTGCTCACACACAGGACCCATCTCCAGCCCCTTGCAGGTTTGTTGCTGGCACTGCCAACAGTTCCATCAGAGAAAAGTGAATTTGTCACTCAGGCTGCAACTGTTCCTCCCCCCACATCCCAGAGCATTTCCCTCCTCTGCCTCCTCAACCCAATCCTCTCATCCAAATGACAAATAAAACTAATTTTCTGGGTCCTTCTACCCATTTCCACCCACAATTCAAACACTCAGCTCCCAGCCACTCACTCCAAGAGCTGACCCAATTAGCTGATTGCCAATTCCAGCTATGGATGCTCATTGCTTTGTTACAGCAGAGCTGCCTTTTAAAGCAATAATTTCTATCAGACAGGATTTGAAATGAAGAGGCCTCAAAAGACCTTCAGCTGAAAGGTGTCCAACAGGAATTTTTAAGAGAAGAGTTCAAACGGATTCTGCAAATAACAGCCTGGTTTTCCAACTCTCCCTTAAGGCCTGCAGCTCGGAGAGCAAGGAAATGTTTGGGAGGTTCTGCAGCATGACCCTGGAGGGAAAAGTGAGTTTGTGAAATGCTTTAGCAAAGGAGCATCTCTGGGTGCTCAGGCTGGTGCTGGACACACCATGTGGACACAGGGAATGTGCTGCTGCAGGCACAGGAACACCTGGGCCAGGTGTGGCTCAGGCAGGGGACCCTGGGCTCCCAGCCCAGCCCAGGGCACTCCTTGGGAGCAGCCACAAGGCAGGATGGGCTCTGCAGCTCTGGCTCTTGGGTTCACAGGGCCCTCGCCAGGATTTTGCTGTTTTGCTGTGTGTGACAAAGCCCCTCGGACACAGGAGCAGCTCTGCAGGATCTGCTTCCCTCCCCTCCTCCCATCCCCACCCCAGTGCTGGCAGCTCTGAGTCCCCAAACCTGGATAAATTAACCCAGCACTGACTCTGTGGCCACCACGGCTTATGGGGGCACGTTTTGGGCTCCCCAGCCCCTTCCCAGCCCAGGTGTTGCAGCCTCTGCTCTCTGAAGAACAGAAACACCTGGCCCAGCCAGGCCACCCTCCACCCACCCTCACCGAGGAGAAAGGTAGAACAAAGCCACAACATCCCCCAAACAAAACACACCAAGAAAGAACTAGAACAAAGAATTGTTTAATCGCTTAACCCTTTCTCTTCCAGGGACCAGAGAAACAAGTTTTCTGCTCCTTCTAATGAGGGCAGTAAGGCTCGTGTGTTACCTCTACAACTGCAGGGGCAAAGTTTACGAGATGATCGTCTTTAGTACTCAAAAAAGCGAGAAGCAATGGTCACTGCAACACTAAGAGAATCCTAGAGTCTCCTAAAGGAGAGCCCATTGCTAGAATACAAAAATAAAGGAGGCATCCCTGCATATCCCAGGCTAGAAAGAGTTAACCAGAAAGAGCAGGAAGAAGCTTTCCCAAAGAGGGGGTTGAAGTAAACAGCAGAGGTCAATAAAGCAACATCTTCTCCTGACTTCCCCAGCATGTTTTTTTCCTTCCAATAAATACAAATTCCTCGTTAACAAGCGACAAGCAGGTAATCTGCCCACAGCAAGGGGAAAAGGGGCTAGAGGCAGAAAGAATTTTCTCTCCCCTTCTCTCCTATTATTATTAATCTTTTTATTTAACCAAAGCAGCCATTAAAAACAGCAACCCACTGCAGAGGCAGGGAATCTGGTTGCTTTCACACTGCAACTGGCAGGTAAAAGAGCTGCACTGTCTCACAAGGGTAAAAAAAACCGAAAAAATAGCTGCCACAGCAAAAGGTGAATGGGGAGGGAGAGGTCTGTTCTCTTCAGAGCTTTCCACCTCAGTCTCTCAGTTTAAAAATCAAAGTCTGCAGACGTTGTCTACTGAAAGCTGAAAAAAAAGTTTGAGTGGGAGGAGAAGAGGGGGAAAAAAAAAAAAAAAAAAAAAAGAGGATGCGTCTAGTAGGAAGCCTTAAGCAAAAAAAGAAAAGGGCAGACCATGTCAGAAAGCCACCCAAGTGAGGAGAATTTTCTGCTGCCTCTGGGTTTGGAAGAGCAGCA